ACATATCTAAGCAACTCAATGTTTTGCCATTCCAATGTATTTTTTCTCCTTTTTAATTCCTGTCTTCCAATAGTGGCATCATTATCTGTCCAAACACCTGAGCTAGATATCTGAATCCTTACCACTCACCATACCAAATCCTATGAATTTTATTTTTGAATAACCCTCTCTACTTCCAGTTTTACTTTCCTAGTCAGAATACTAATCATGCCTGGCATGGGCTAATGGAATAGCATCTCAAGTCATCTATCCAACTCTAATCACCGATCCCTCCCCACACAAGTCAGCTTCCTGCTGCCACTGGAGTTCTTATTTCTAAGATCAGCTGATGGTGCAGGGGCAGCTACTCTGGTGCTATCACTCCATCACCAGAATAAACTCCAAAGTCTTTTGTCAGGGCACAAGAGCCCCTCACAATTTAGCTTCAACTTTCCTTCCTACCATGTATCTTGACAAGCCCCATATTCGTCTTATGGCCAAGAGCAGTAGTTCTCAACCAGGGTCAATTTTGCCCCCAGAGACAGTGTCTGGAGACATTTTTGGCTGTTACAATTGGCAGGGGAGAAATGGTATATATCACTAGTACCTAGTGTGTAGAGGTCAGGAATACTACCAAACACTAAATATCCTGAAGAATTATCTGGCCCAGAATTGCCAATAATGCTGACATTGATATCTCAAAGCATAGTGACACTGAACTTTCTATGGTTCACTGAGACATTATTTGTATACCAATATGACATTTACATTATTTCTCACACCCAAATTGTCTTTATTCATGCCTATAAATTTAAATCCACCTTTCAAAGACCATCTCCCATTTTTAATGTTCTCCAGAGTTTTTATGAATCCTTATGGTCACAGTCACTCCCTTGTGTGGACTCTAAAAATATACTGTATTACTAAATCGTAACAGCTACTCGAAACCATGATCCCTGACATTTTGTCAAAGAATACCTATCATCTAGAAGATATCATGCAGCCAATAAATGTTTCCTAAATCATAAAATAATTGGAAATATTATTGATGTCACTGGACTCTAGTGCCAATTTTTCTGGAGAACAATCATAACAAGAGACAAAAAATTATTCCAACTACTTATCCCAGTAATTTCATTTAGGGCAAAGCTAGACTAAAAGGAAATAATTTCTAAAAATGAACAAAAGTATTTATAGACCTGATAATTAATCCACTTGCCAGTAAAAACAAGACCCTGATAAACAGGGTTGAGAGAAGGCCTTTCTATACTCCAAGCTCCTTAAAGTATTAGCATCTATGGCTGAAAAAGGCCTTGGTTGGTGACTGACCAGGACAAAGAACTGACTTTAGGAAAACCCCATCTTGCTACGCAGGCCATGGCCTTCGCATCAAATAAAAGGAGGTGAGCCTTTTAAATTACCACTAATTTTAATGAAAAACTTTAAAAAATTAATGCTGAACAAAGAAAATGTTTAAGTAACTATAATAAAGATATATAATGGAACATTATATGAATATTTTAAATGACTAATATGTAGACAAAGTTAATAGAAATATGTAAATATAGTTTTACAAAGCAAGTATACAAAGCATTTATGAATATATATTATAATTATGTTAAAATGCACAATACATATTCAATGACATTAGAAAACCTGGAATTGAGAACATTCCACATGTTCTTAGTTTTCTGGGTTTTTTTGGCAATGATATATATTACAGATATCCCAGAAGAGATGTTTGGAAACTCTATCATTGTTCTCTAAATCATGGCAATAAATATCTTATACATCTCCTGTTACCTGAATTCTGGTGTACCCACTATGGGAACCAGAGAAATTATTTTGTTTGTTGTGTTTTGTTTTGTTGCTTGTTGTAGGAGGCAGAATTCTAAGATGACTCCTCTCTGACCCTCACTTTCTCTGGAATTTATCAACATGAGGGATTTTACAGATGTAATTAAGTCCTTGAGTAGTTGACATTAAGGTCATCAAGAGAGCCTATTCTAGGTGGGTCTGAACTAATCAGATGAGCCCTTAAAAGAAGTCAGAGGAATCTGAAGCTACAGGGGTTTTTCTGCTAGACTTGAGAGTAAACTGCTTAGTTATGAGGGGAGGAAGCCATGTAGCAAGGGCTTAAAGGGGACACCTTTAGGAGCTGAGACTAGTTTCTGGCCAATAGCTAGAAAGAATACAGAGACCTCAGTAATATAGCTACAAAGAAATGAATTCTGACAACCAGTAAGCTTGAAAAAAGACCTGTACCTCACATGGGACTGCTGTCCTGGCTATCATCCTGATTTCAGCCTTATAAGGTCCTGAACAGAGTATCCAGCTAACTCGTACTTGGACTCTTGACCCACAAACTGTGAGATAATAAACATGGACTGTTTTAAGCCACTAAGTTCTATGGTAAGTTGTTATATAGCAATAGAAAACTAATACTTTTATTTATAGAAAGTTAATTTAGTTTTCAATAATGAGTTTTGATTCATTCAAAAAGTATTTCATTCACAAATACATACTGATTTCCCATCATGTGTCAGGCAGCATATCAACTGCAATATAACATTTTATAATAAATAAATTCAAATGATTTTCATTTTAACAAAACACTGAACTATACATATAAAAAACTATGTTCAAAAGAAAATCAGTAACTTAAATGTTATTAAGAATATTTAAAAAGACTATAGTAGTCAGATTTATTGACTATTTGGCTTAGTATTTTGTCTTCAAAGGTGATCCCAAATAACATTTCAGAGATAGCAGGGTTATCCTCCACCTAAGATTTCAGACTCATTAGCTTCCCTTAATATCCTATAGTGATTATTGTATTAGTGAATTTGTCATCTAAATCCATAGCTGACCTATTTATATTTTTAGGCTATATCACCTGTAAGGATATCAAGATCAACTTCTGAAGATAGTACATTCTTAATTTTTCCTAAAACAATCATTTTCAGTCTTTATGAAGTACCCCCAAATTCTTTGCTATCTATCCACAGATACATCTTTCCATCCAATAAAAGTAAATGGAATAAATTCTCTATTTAAAGGGAAAAGCTTCAGACTACATTTTTTAAAAGATGAAGTTATAAGTGGTTGGCAAGAGGCACACATAAATATAAAGATGCAGAAAAATGGAAAGTCAGTGGCTGGAAAATGATATACTAATTATGTCAAATTAAAAGAAAGCTGGCTATCCAATATCAAATTACACAAAGTTGAAAAGTATGATTCATTAAGTAGCTAAAATAATTTTATATTTACATGTACAGAATGAAGCCTCTAAATATACAAAGCAAAAATTGATAGAATCTAGGAAGAAACAAGCAAATCCACCATCATAGAATCAGTTTTTAATAACTGATCAGGAAGATAAAAATCAAAAAGAATACAGAATATTTGAAAAAAAAAAAGCTCAAAATCTTGATTTAATGGACCAGCATACTACAGTGCATTAAACAAGAGGATACATCTGGGGTGTTACATTCTCCTCATGTGCTAGGTCACAACGCTGGCATTAACAAGTTTCAAAACTGTTTTCATACAAACCACAATTTCTAACCATAGTGCAATTAAAGTTAAAAAAGCATTTCAATCTCTCACAACTCTTTCAGAATACTGGGGACCTTCATGAGAAACACAGATAGTAACTGAACTGCCTTCTGTTCAGACTGGGACACCATGACTACAAGTATCATGTTCTGTCCAAAGTATGGAAATTTGGAGTGACCAGTGGATTATCTTGGACAACAGAATAGAGGCTGAGCAAATGCCAATACAGGTATCCCCTGCTTTTCAAAAGTTTGCATTATACCACTTAGCTTTTACCTGTTTCACTAAACACAAGAAACCGAAAGAAGATTTTTGCTTTTACAAAATAAGGCGAAAAGCAAAAACAACACTCAGAGTTTGTTTTCCAGCGGGCTTTGACAGAGGCAGCACTCAGCCAGTGCTGCGAAATGTCACCATGGAGCTTCTTCCCGGGAACTACATTCAGTATCTCAGCACTAAGCTGCCATAACTTTGAACTATGTCTGTAGGCATCTATGCTTTACCTTGATTAATTTTGTGCATCCATTACCAAGATATGTCCTAAGTGTGAGAAAAGTCTGAGAGAGGTTACTGTTTGGGTTTGGGAACAGTCAAATTTTTTCTATATAAATTAATGGTGATGGTTTCTTCGTTTTACACCATTTCAGCTTACAAAAGGCTTCATAGGAATGTTCTACTTGTGAATAGCAGGGGACAGCAGTAACAATCTTAATTCTTTATCATTCTTAAATGTAATAAATTGATATTTTCTCTAGATAAATGTTTAAAGATAATTAAAGGGTACTGAGTGAAAATTACTGGCCTGCCAGGGACACTTGTGCTCTGGTGTGGTTTCTGTGAGCAGAAGCAGACTGATGAGAAAGCAGGACTTAAAAACTGTTGGGAAGATGACACGGGCAAGATAGGAACAGATAAGAAGAGAAGTGACAAGACAAGAACTTGCTTTGGGAAGACAACTAACTCTGTGTGCACATGAAGGATGAACCGGTACAGAAGGAACAGAGGACAGCAGGGAGGCCATTCTGGAGCAGAGCTGAACCAGGGCAAAGAGAAAAGGATGGAGTAAACAGAATTATGGTTTTCTTTATATTTATCTTATTCAAAATTTTTTGGTTATAACATTTTAATTCTATTCTATTCTTTTCTTTTCCAGGCTAAGCAATACTATTTTCACATGGAATTTAAAAATTACTTTAGATATCACTATCTAGAACTTTCAAAGTCTTTTTTAAAGGGATATACACATAGAGAATACTATGTTAATGTTTTGCAGAAGGGCAGAGAAATCTCCATTGTTTTCTTTCTATACAATGAGGTTCTCCTTTGTTTTGTTTTTCCCCACAAAAGCATCTTGGTCTGATGTTTTTGGCAGTAAATTTTTGTGTGGTGAGATATACAATTGTACTATGAGAAATTCAGCATCAGTTAAAGTTTTTTTTATTGCTTTTACTCTAGATATGTTATCATCAACACTGCTCACTTACTTATTCAGTGTTACCAAATAAGATATTATCATTAAGACATAACATTAAGTGATAGGCCTAAAGAATTGTCACCTCCTGATTGGCTGTATTCAGCTTGTCTTCCAGTTCTTTCTTCAGGTGTTCTAGCTCTTGCTGAAGCTGATTTTTATCCCCTTCCAGGTTTAGCATCTCCTTTTTATATTGTTCCTCCAATTCCTTAGGAAAATAAATTTAAAAAAATTAACAATATTGCAAATATTGTACACTTAAAAGACCTCAAGAAGAATACTATTCTGATTTATATTTTGATACTTTGCTCTTCAAATTAGCCTTACCCTTAATAAATAATGTCAACATTAACAGAGGATCTAATTAATCTTAGGAGCTTAAATTTCATCATTTTGAATCACTTGTGATAGAGCGGTTAAATAATTTTTTAAATGGTAAGAATATTTGACTGGTCTAGATCAAGCTGTGGTCATAAAACAAAATATGTGATGCAAATGATAATTTGGTAAGGTAAAGAAAACATTCTCTTGAATTCAGAATTCTTTTGTATTTACTTAAAAAATCAATTAACATTTCTGGAACTCAGTGGTCTAGTGCTGGAATGTAGTCAAGAATTAACAAGGACAAAATTAAGGCACTTATGGAGCAATATCAGTAAAATTGATACCTACTACCAGGTATGCCACTAATACTTGGGATACAAGAGCAATAAGGAATGATGTCTGTCTTTAGTAAGCTCAGGGTATCAAGCAATTACAGAATATGTGATTAAAATTAGATGTATTTGAGTAGTACAGGAATATATAGATGGGGAACTGATAAGCTCTAGTTTGGTGGGAAAACCTCACAGAGAAAGCAATTCCTAAGTATAGTTTAAAGAGTGCACCAGTAAGAAAAGGTGGTGAAACAAGAGGAAAATATAACATTGTAGGCATGTGCAAAAACCACATGTACAAAAGAGCATTGCAAGTTACAAGTAGTTCAATATTTCTACACTGTAAGGTGAGAAGAGTAATAAATAGGATTCTGTGTTGGGAGACCCCAAGACAAACTCCAGGTTTGAAGATTTGCTTGGATGATTCACAGGACTCAACATAGAGTGTCCTCACAGCAATGGTTTATTAAGGCAGAAGGATACAAAGCACAATGAGCAAGGGAAAAAGGCCCATGGGGTGAAGTCTGCAGGAAAGCAGGCACAAGCTTCTAAGATCCTCTCACACAGCACGCTCCAGCAAGCTGTGGTGACGCATGGGGAACGACATCTACTAGGAAAGCTCATGAGAGACTCAGCGCCCAGGTTTTTTATTGGGTATTAGTCACATAGGTGCCCCATGACTAGGTTGCACCAAAATTTCAGACTCCCAAGAAGGAAAGCAGATATTCATCATAAATCATACTGTCTTCACAAATGCATCAGGCATAGAATGGTGGGGACCCTCCCAAAACTCAAGTTTCCAGAAATCAGTCAAGGGCCAACCTTGCACCAAGGCCTTTCTAAGGAGGGCGGTTTCGGGCCTGCCATGTTAACTCTTTTCCTCACAGATTCTCTGTATATTTACTTTCAAACGGGGCAGGTGAACTAGAGTTACGAAAGAAAAGATAATCCTTTTTGATAGCCAAGTAATAAGGAATAGAGAAGTCACCTTTAGCTAAATGTTCTTTAAAAGATAATATGACATTGGAGAAATACTATTTTGAAAAGGGTCTGGTTTTAGCTTAGGCTCAGACATGAGGTACCCAGGTAAGAGAGGAATGAAGCAGCAAGTGATAAATACATTATTTTGAAAAGAAAAGGATACAGATAAAACTATCGTAAGAGGTTTTGATGATGTTCACATATAGGAGATCTATGTCACTTGTCTTACAGCAACTGTATTTTAAAGAAAGACTATAAGAAAAGTGGCTTAACACAGGCTTTAGGTAGCTCAGAAATTGAAATTTAATGGATGAAGAGGATGATTAGGATGGAAGTAATGAGGCAAAAATGATCTTGATAGAAGATGCCTTGACTCTTGCATTCAGAACTTAATATAGAGGAAAAAGAGGCAAAGGTAGGACATGTGCAATTTAAATATTCCAATAAGAGAAGAGAAGCCTAAGGTGGAAAAGGGATGGAGAAAAGAAACATAACAACAAAAAATACTATGGACGAGATTACTGAGCAGTAGCTATCACTATACACTTTATTATAAACCTTGACCATTTGATACACAGCCAGAGTTGGGAAGCACGCACATGTGCAGCATAATTCAAGCTATACAAATTGGCCCTGGAGTAGTGAGCTGGCAGAGAAAACCACACAATTTTTGAGAAATAAATGTCATTAAGTTTCATCTCTAGCTACTAAGTGTAACAGTAACCTAGAATATACAATATAACAGTTAAACTAGAAATAACATTCTAACAAGAAGTTTCACTTGGATTTTTAATTAAACTCAGGTGTTGAATATTTTTTACAAATATCACAAAAGGAAGAGACATAGAGGCAGAAGGCCTCAATTCATGTTACCTCCTCTATTTCCTAGGTTTATAGCTCTGAGTCAATCATTTAGGTTTATTAAACCTATTTCACCATCTAGGCAATAAAAATGATGTTCATCTCCAAATTTAAATAATAAGGAATATATAAGAAAGCTCTTAGTAAATTGTGAAGTGCAATTAATATAAGACACTTGTCTTATATTATATACAATAACCATCATTAACACATGCCTACATGATGGGGTTAAATGCCTTAGGGTTTGTTACCTCAGACCTGAGTTCAAGGCCTGATTAATCCTTACTAATTGCATGGGCTTGAGCAAGTGTTTAGCCTCTCTGTGCCTCCATCTCCTTTTCAGTAAAATGGGTATGGCAATCAAACACATAGCAGAGTTACAGGATTATATGAAAAAATAAATATAAAAATCATTGTGGCTGGCACACAGTAAGAAACACTAATTACTAAGATTTATGTATCTCATTATATGCTAGGACATGTCTGGGTTCTTAACACTTTCTCTCACTCAACCCTCATAGGATATTACAAGATGGATCTCATCTTCATCTGTTGGATGAGGAGCCTGAGGCATAGCTTTTGGGGCCCAGGATTAGGCAGCTAGGAGGCTTAGTGTAAGGCTTAGATCCACTAGACAACCTTGCTTTTTCATTATGCAATACTGTCTGTCATGTGTTACTATTAGCAAGCTGATTACTTAATTGAGGGAAAAAATAAAACAAAACAAATAATTTTCCCAGGGAAGGAAACTGTCTACAGGAGAATTAAGGGCTTCAACTAAACGAAGCTTCCTGAGAAGCACACCAATGTTGTCTCATGAGGAGATCGCTCAGGATCAAGGGAGTGTTTCTGTTATGGCTTATACAAAGTAAAGTCCCTCATAACAATTTAATAAATTACATCCTACATCAAGAACTTTTATGGATGTTACTCTTTGAACCATGATTTACAAAATGATTACAAGACTGCAGCCATCAAAATGAAGCCTCATTACCTTACGCTATATTTCATGCTGGATCATTAAGAAACCTCACTGATTTACAATGCAATGTAAGGTTGAATTTTTACTCACCATTTGCAATTTTTTCTTATCCCTAATTGCATTACTGTGGATAGCCTCAATTGCCATATGGTGCTTCCAAGCTAATTCTTCCAAAGTCTTAGAATGGGCCTCATTTAATTGAGCCACCTCTCCTTCCAAAATACTTTGCAGGTTTTTTAGCTCCATCTCATAATATTCTTGTTGAGTTTTCTTTGCCTCATTTACTTTCTAAAATTGAAACAAATAAAGATCAATAACTGGCCTTTTTCATTACTGCTGTTAGTATTTTGAATCCTAATTATATATATTTGAATGAACTGAGTGCTGCAGGATTTAGATTACAGAACATGAAATTACATCATTGGTATTCTCAGAAAATGACAGAGTGGCAAAGGCAAAATGAGTAATTTTAAAATGATAAAATAGACTACTATTTGGTTGGAACCAAGTGTGAGTTAGCACATCTGCAAGCTTAAGAGAGAAAAGCTTCCAATATGTCAAAGTTGTACACAAAATGGCTTTCCAATTTACCCACTTAAATGATATGACTCAGTACAATTTTATTGAGTGCTAATGATAGGCCTTCTAAGCATTCCCAGTCTAAACAGAAAAACAGTCAAAGACAGTGGTAATATAATTTTGTAAGTCTATGAAATTAGTGTATGTCACATGTAAGAGTATGCAGGAACACAACCTAACCTGGATAGGTGGGAAAGTAAGAGACAGAAAGAGACAGAGAGAGTGTGTGTACAAGAGAGGGGGAGAGAGATCAGGGAAGGCTTTCCAGAAGAGAAAACATCTGAGCTGCTGCCAATGACACGCTCTTTCACTTAATTTTCACAAGCCCATCAGGAAAGCAGAAATGAGAAAATTTCAAATCTAGATCTGACATCAAAAGCCTGCATTCATAATCATTCCCAGCATTTTGAAAGATGAGAGATAGTCAACGAGGCAGCAAAGTTTAAGTAGACAAGAAGTCCATGTAGGTAAGCAGTATGGATAGAACATAAGATACCAGGCTGGGAGTGGTGAGGGATTAAGTTCAGAAGCTGGCAGGAGTCAAATCATGAGAAGGGATCTTTTGTGCTAAGGACTCTGGATTTTATTCTGAAGAGAATGAGAAATCATTGAAATTTAAGTAACTGACATATTTTTAAAAACAATCATCTTGGCAGTAGGCTACTGAATTGACTGAAGGCAGGGAGAGAGCTTAGGAAGCTGTAACTGTAATCTAGGCAAGAAATGACAGGTAGTAAGCCTAGGCTCTGTGAGTGGATGTGGAGAGGAGGAGAGGAGAGAACAGAATAAAATACATTAAGGGAGTAGAAAACTGATAGGACTTGGTAACAGTTAAGGGGGTTAAGGAAATAGTAATAAAGAATGACTCCCAGGTTTCTGATCTACCCAACTAGATAAATGGTAGTGCTACTGGTTAAAAAAGTAGTGAAGGAAATATAGTACTTCTGAAGGGAGAAAGTTCTAGGCATGATGATTTGACATGTTTGTGAGCAACAGATACCTAATAAGAGTTAGATATATAGGACTCAAGTTCAGGGGAAAGTTCTGGCTTAGATGGATTTGGGAGTTCTCACTCAACAAATGACAGGTGATGTTCCTGGGATGGATGAGTGTGGGGATGAGAATGCCAGGAACATCCATGATGAGGGAGCAGGTGGAGCAGCAAAGCTCACAAACAAAAGTGCAAGGCCACCTAGATAGGAACAGAACAAGAGAGGACAGGAAACAGCCAAAGAGAGATATTCTTTGGTAAATCAGAGAGGAGTAAGACCACAGTAAGACAAGATCCTCCAAGTCCAGCAACGTGGATGTCCCTTGGGGCAGAGGCAAACGCAGATTCTGCAGAGTGGTGGTAAGAGGAAGCAGGGGAGGAGCCAGTGAGTGGTGAGCAAGGGGCAAGGAGAACAGACATTCTGTAATATGCGTGCTTGCTGAGGGAAGGAGGAGGAGTGTCTAAAACTCCCACTTGGTATTGTAGAGAAAAACTGGAATAAATATTCAGCAATTACTCTACAAATGACACCTCTTATTTAATCTAGATATTTAAATGTTGGTATATGAATTTTCAGAGCTTTTCAGTTTTATAGAAATATTTTAGGTGTACATGCAATAATGTGTTTCATTAATAGAAAAACAAATATGATCAACCATAAATCCACATTCCACTGAAATAAGAGTTTATTCAGTTTCTGGCTTGAAATAGGTTGAAATGTCTTAAGTTTTTACACTATAAATTGTTACCAACAACATATTGAATATATACATGAGATAGGATAGTCCAGTTTTATACCTTTTTTCCTCAAAATAAAAACCAAAAAATTACTAGCATTAAGAAAAAGCCTGTTACTGTGAAGCAGGAATAAACACTCTAAATCAAATCTGAAAGAGGAAGACTGAGCTTTTCGTCCTTTCCATTACTGGGGAACTGGGAGTGGGATGGGGTAGGGTCCTCCATTGCTTTTTACCTTCTCCAGTTCCAGAATCTGCTGTTTCTGCTCTTCATCCAAACTTTGAGTTTTGCTTTGCAAAAAAGCTCTTTCTTCTTCAAGCTGAGATAATCTCTCATTGGCCCTTGATTTTTCTGATTCTAGATCTTTAATTGTAACCTCCTGGGTCATTTGAGTTGCTTGAAGCATTCCAATATGACCTACTCCCCAAAAAGAAAACCTCTTCAATTTAAAATCTGTTGCACTGTGGTACAAAACAGTTTATACTTTAAATGACAAGTTGCAGTTAATACTTAAGCAAAATAAACAGCCTGCATGTACAAACAGTTCTTTGATTTCCTCACTGTATAAAATGTAAATATTTGCCATGAGAATACTTCTTACCCAAGTAGAATAACTTAAATTAGAAAGAAGTCCATTTTCATATCACTGATATTACTTCGTGCACCCAGGACCATTCCACTTTTGTTTTTAAATATTGTTAGCTATACAAGTTGAAGAAGGAGCAACTCCACATGGATGTGTACAAAAGCTTTGGGAATAAAAACAAAGTAAGAGAGGATACACTGACTTATACTATGGTGCAAAATAAGTAATTTGTTCTTTTCTGACCTCTTCTTTTTTCAAATTCTAACATAATGAGGAATAAATGTGTATGTAGGAAGTAAAGATGGCAGGCAGCAATTTGGTTGAAACTGAATTTTAGACAAGAGACCTGATAAAGAACTAAGGCAGAACAGATAAGGACAGCAAGTTTATGACAGAATGAAATAAATGACAACAGCAAAAAAAGGGCAAGATAGGAGATGAGAGGGAGAGATGAAAAGTAAACGTGAGAAAAAAATCTCAGAAAGTATGTGTTAGGGCAGTGGTGCTCAAAGCACCCTAGGTCAGCAGCACATGGGAACTCTGGTTCACCCTCAACCTACCAAATCAGAAACCTGAGCTGGGGCCCAGCACAGTGGTTGCACAAGCCCTCCAATCGGTTCGCATACATGCTGAAGTTTAAAACTATTTATCTGAGATTCACTGTGAGCCAATCAAATCAGGTGACATCCTCAAATAACTAGTTTAAATGGCTTCACCTGCTATACTAAACCCTGGCAAAACAATTTCAGAATTGTCAAGGGTCACCCACCCCCTCTAAGGGCTATGAAATGAGCACATCAACCATGAGGGGCAACTCAGCTTTACAGTAGTGGAACTATGTGTAAATTACAGTGTCTCATTTCATCTAGCTTCTTAATAAGGATCATTTTACATACTGAATACCTAAAAATGTACTCTTTTAAAGGCCGAAGCCTTTTATATTCTTTCATTTTTCTTTCAGTGAATGATTTATTGATGCTATAATACCTGCTAACTCTTAATTTTTCTATAAAAATATACTCTAAAAATAAGTTATCACTTGCTTATCTTATTAAGAAGATATTAGTGTTCTTTAACATATTTAGAGTCTAATTTTGTCTTAAATTAACATTTAAGTGTTAATTTAGCTGAGAACTTCACCAAGAACTGTAGTCAGACATACTGGCTTTGAGGACAAGATCTGAAGCTTGCTGTTGTAAACGTTCTCTGGCTGCTGCCAGCTCACTTTCCACTTCCCTGTGCTTGCTTAATAAGGCCATCTCTCCCTCCTTGGCATCATCAAGCTGTTTTTGAAGAACCTAAGAAAGATCAAGTAGCCCTTGTTAAAATACAAGAATGATGCTAAACCAAATGATTCATTTATATTATAAGCATCAACCTTCTCTTATTCAAAAGTCACAGTTAACAATACTTATTTTTGAATCTGTTTTGATGACACTTACAGCTCACCTTCATAAATCATATGACCTAATCATGAAAGGCTATTTTCTCATCCACTCAAATGCTGAATAGATACTAAAAACATAGCTATGAAATTTTCTATTTCATTTGTAAAATTTGTAGGGACTTTTTGACTTTTTTTTAACTTGCACCATACCTCTAATTCAGGTTTATAAAGCAATCAATTTTTTTTCATTGTCTGGATATCAACTGATGGGCAGACAATTATTAATGAAAAGGAAAATACAATTAAACCCAAAGACCGCTATTTTAATTTTCCTAAGCCACTTACAGAAAATTTTAACATGTTATTTAAGTAAAATCTTTTCATAAACAGCAAAACTTTAAGTTATCTTTTTGGGCCATTAATATCTGAAACTCTAGTAGGAAACAATTACAGAATAGCAAAAATTGGCCCTTTTTTGGTTTCCTTGTAAGAGAAAAGCAGAAAAGCGCAAAGGGGTAGAAAACCAAAAGTTGAAGAGGTCTAATTGAAAAGAAAAGAGAATACTAGGAGAAAAAAACCTGTGTGTTGAGTGTAATATTCTTTACCTACCTGAATGCTGCTCTCTGCCGTAACAAGTGCGATCTGAAGCTTTTGGCATCTGTCACGAAGACTTCCAGCTTCATCCTGTCCCATCTGTAACTCTGTCTTTAATTTTCCTATGGTTTTTCGTAAAATTGCTTCTTGTCCCTGAAATTCTTTTCTAAGATCAGCTTCCTTTTCTCTGGTGGCCTGCAGACTTTCTGCTGTAAAAAGCTGTGACCTTTTCAAAGTATCGAGCTCATGTTCATAAAAGGACTGAGCTTTATTCAACTTGCCTTCATAATCCTCAATTAGCTTTTTCCGTTCAAGTCTTAGCTCTTCCAGTGTTTTGTTTAAGGTCTCCACCTCCATTCTGTGCAGCTCCTCTACCTTCTCCTGCCCTTTATTGATGGAGGCACTGTGATCTTGCTGTGACTTCAGCAGCTCTTGGATTTCCCGTCTGTGAGCAGTTCGCAAATCTTCCAATGCCAAACGCTTGTCTTTTTCAAACTGTACTTGGAGCTGTCCAAAACTCCGTAATCTTTCCTCAAATTTCCTTCTGATCTCTTCAACCTCTCTAGACATGGTCACTATGCGCTGGACATGCTGGGCTTCTGCACAAAGTTGCATGTCTTCAACTCTATGCTTATAGGCTTCAAATTCTGTCAAGGCCTGCTGCTTCATTTTTATGTGATCTTCTAATGAAGCTTCTAAAACTTGAATCTTTTTCTTAAGATCTAATTCCTCTGTTACTTTGCTTTTATATTGCAGTATTTTTTCTCTTGTTTCTGCAAGAATTTGTTGGATTTCTTCTTCATGAGCATCTCTGAGGGCTTGAATTACAGATTCATGCTCATCATTTTTAGTGTTCAAAGCATATATTACCTGTATGGTTTTAAAGAAGGGAGAAGAATTCAGTAAACCATATTCTTTTCTAACTTGGAGTTAATTCTTTCATTTGGACTGATACTTTTCTATGCACATAATACTGGCTATGGTAAATGTCAAATATGGAAATATCATGAATTATTTGTATGTTCATAAATAGATTTACTTAGCAAGTTTTTCCCATAATACAATCTTAAAATTTGAATTTGAGGATTTTTTAATGAAGATGGTAAAGCACCCCAAGTTAAGAATGTTTTATTACAAATAAAAGAGTGAAGAGGAAAGAG